TTCTTAGGTTGTTAAAGTGCCTTATGTTTGTGTGCCCTGACAGACTACCTTGCCTCTGGTTGTGACAGCCTGGTGTGAGCAGCTAAAAGATACTCTGAGAGCTGAGACTTTCTCTAGCAGTGGTCAGGCATCTGAAAATGGCAACAGGTGGATCTTTGGAAACTGATGTATTAAATACATCTCTTCAACAAGCGTGCCTGGTTATTATTTAATAATTTGGTCTGTTCTGCAGTTTTGGTAAGTGACAGCTAGCTATTGTAAGCAGCAAAGTCTGCTCCCACCTCCTGTTGCACATCTGCCCCCAGTGCCAGAGTTTACTGTGGAGCATTTGTAGGCCAGCTTGGTTTTAAATAGAAAAAAGGTGAATTCTGCAAATGACTTGAGCTAGTCCAGACTTGCAGGCTGCTGCCCAGGGCTTCATCTCGCAAGTCTGGCCTGAATTCTTGATGTGACAAGGTTTGATTTCCCGGCTTGGCCGCTATTTGCTTGTCGTAGAGCAAGAGCATAACGGTTCTCATCACTGGCCTGACAGAGGTTCTTCATGGTCCAGTTCCCTGTGCCAGCTTGAAGAGCAGGAAAACAATGAGCCCTTGGAAAGTCTGGTTTAAGCGTATCATTACAGTGTAACCCTATATGCGCTTACGTAAGTCTTCATTTTCTTGAACAGCAGCTGAATTCTGTGTTATAATTTGTTTGCCACGGTTCAGGTCAAGCCCTGTCTTAATATTTTGGGCTGGCCAAAATGTTTTGAATTTTCCTTGCTGAAAGCTCAGTGTGTGAGGAAGGGATCTGATTTCTTGATCAGCTATAATTGTAATTCCTGTTTTACTTATTCTGTCCCTGTTTTACCTACTGTCATGTCTTATGCATAATGCAGCACAGGGAAGCAGGGAATGTTTTTGCTGCTTTCTTAAAGACATCCTAAAAGCTGAATCTCTTGAAGTGTAGTCAACTGTCTGATACGATGTAGGGAGTTTCTTTAGGGTCTTCTAAACCCTCAGTGGCCAGGTTTGGGGTTTGCAAACTCCAAATGTGAGGTTGGGGTTTGGATCGCTGTTGAGCTTGTTGGAGCTGCCGAATTTTGGGTGGTTGTTGGGCAAAATGTCTGGGTTGTTCCCTGCTTCTTGATATGAGCAGAGAATTCCAACCTGGAAGTGTCTTGGATAAAATGCTCCAAGGCAAAACAAGCGAAGCCCTTCTGTTACCTTAATGATTCCTGTTTTTTCAGTTGAGTCTGATGCTCGGGGTCTCACAAAGGAGGGAAGTATTGTCATCAGCTGAGGCCTGATGCTTTTCTTTGGGAAGTTGCAGCTTCCTTCCTCTCATTTAAAGCCCCTGCGCTTCATTTGATGCTCCTCCAAAGCCGGCCCCCACGGCCGCTCGTGGTGGGATCCTACGGGAGGGATGTCCCGTGTCCCCGCGGAGCCGGGCGCTTTCCTGGCACCCTTGGAGCCCCAGCAGAGCCACTTCCATGCGCAGGGTCCGGACAGGCGCTCGCTGGCCACGAGCCCAGCATGAGCTTCCCCGCCACGGGGCAGCGATCGCGGATGGGATTTGCTGACCCTGTTGTGCTGGCGTTGATGAACCTTTCCTGCCGGGATGCTTGGGACAGCAGGGCCTGCTGCCTTCCCAGCTGCACACTGCTGTGTTGGATTCTGCTGCTTGATTACCTCTTTTTTTATTTTTTATTTTTTATTCTTCCGTGTAAGTGTATGCAACGGAGGAAATGAGCCTGCAGTCCCAGACTGCCGCAATCCTCAGGGGAAGTTCAGGGGTCAGCAAAACTTTCATATGATAAAATGGGATGAGCTCCCGGCAGCTTCCGCAGCTCTGGGCTCTGCCTCTCCATTGCTCCCTGGCCGGGTGACAGCAGCACGGAGAGGGACCGTCCCTCTTCCTTGGAAGTGGAGAAAACATATATATGCATGTCACGCTTTCTGCAATTGCTTCTGGATGTCACCATATATTACTTCTGTATCTCGTTGAGTAATTTATTTATTTGACCCCGTGCCGCGTCTCTCGCTTTTTCCATGTCCTTTCAACATCTGCCACCTCGGAGGAGCTGCCGTGAGTTACTGAAGCAAGGAGAGGGCTCGTGTTTGGCCTGAGATCTGGGAGTGCTGGTTAATGTTTTGCCAACTCCAGTTTGAGCGTCGCTGAAAGTCATTCCCCTTTCTCCATGGTTGAGCTGGTGGCTTCAGTGCATTTAATAGGTTATTCCCAGGTTTTTTTGGTAATATTTTTCCCACTGGAGGTCTGGCTGGATGCTCCTCACTGCAGCAATCTTGCTTGCTATAGCCCAGACTTAACTCTCCGAGGTGCATCCCCATCCCAAGCTATCGAAGTTTGCCAAAATAAAGGATTAACACCATTTCTCGGGTATTATTCTGGGGCTAATCATTGGGAGTGGATGAAGGGGATGCTGTAGCGAGGCTGCCGCTCACCAGTGTTCTGAGCTCAGAAATCAGTCTTTATAAGTGGCGTTTGCCCAGACTGGGAGTGTTCTGCCATGGAAATGCCTTTTAAAAGAGGGGGAAACAATAAGCTGTGAAGGCTGCGATTAAACAGACGCTGCCAGCTCCCCATCGGGGCCGTGCTTTCTGCCTGCTGCTTTTGAGCAGTGCCAGCAGCAAGATAAGAGGAAACCTTGCATCACGGCCGGGAAGTGCTAAAGAAAGTTGCTTTCGTCATCCGGCCGTGGGTTATCCAGGGCGGCGAAGCG